TGTATATATAAAATATGTATATATAAAATGCATATATATAAAAATGGTTATATATATTATATATTATAATTTCAAGAAAATTGCTCATAGTCTTGGAGAGCTAGCAAGTCCCAGGTCCAATAATCAGATGTCAGAAGATGGGAGGATGACGAGTCCAAGATGAACAGGCAGAGCTACAGAATGCTAGCTTTTGGGAGCTGACTGGTCTTGGGTCAACAAGTAAGGTGGGCTGCTGATTCAGGTCCAGAGATGACCAGCCAGATGCAACATCCAAACTGGCAAAAGGGTACAAAACTTTGCCAAAGAGTTCATACATCTATTCAGTGCAGGTCACACGCCTGAAGAGACTTCACTTACATTGGACCAGGGTTCATTGTATCATTCTGTAGCTGCCTGTAATCTCAACTGGTTAACATCAGAGAGGTTGCATCCACTAGCTTGCCTCCGGAAACCCGATGAACCTGGAAAAAGGATGAAAGTCATGCATGCAAGTGTCAAGGACTTTCGTTCATAGGGTCACTGTGAGTCACCTATGACTCAACGTCACTTAACAACACAGAGAGAGACCTGTTGGCCTAGTGGACTGAAAGCGATGCCACCAAGCCAAAGGTGGGTGACTCTAATCTGTAGCCCTAAGGCCTGTTTTTCATGGGTTTTGTTCAAACAGTCATCTAGGTCATGTAGCCCTAGTGTGTCCACTTGCTGAACAGAGGTAACTTGTGGTCACTGTGAAGCTGAACACTGTGACACTGATGTGTCGAATGAGATAATGGTTATCCATGGTGGACAGTGTTTGGTGGCGCTCCCTGGTTGAAACAAGCTTGGAAGCAGGAGTGACATCCACTTCTGTAAATAGCTTGCTTCTGGAAGAAAGGATGAAAGTGATGCAAACATCAAGAACGTCCTTTCATAGGGTCGCTATGAGTCGCTTATGACTTGACGGCACTTAACAACAACAACAGAACAATTACATTATACCGAGAATCTCCGACACACAATCACCATCACTCACCCTTCATTGACGTTTTCCTCTCCTTACTTTGCTGCGTCCCTGATAAAGTTTCCTGCACTTTACATAGACGTTCTTGACTCACAGATCCTTCCATCAGAACTGCTCCTAGGGGAACTCCCAAAGCAGAATGCCACCTCCTCTGTGTGCCTTTCTTCGATGATCTTTTCTGTTCTCTGCGTCCGAGCCCTTCAGGTACCCATCATATGGTCATGCGAGCTGAAAGGGTCGCTTCCACTGAAATGTGTTACAGAATCAGACCTTATTCAGCTTTGCATCACCAGCATTTTCCCTACTTTCAGGACACAGTTTTGAATCCTTGTACTTGCTGGCTACAGGGGAGCTTGGTAAGGATGTAGGAGAGAGATAAAGATGCAAGTCTGAAAAGTCTACTGATGTACCAATAGCTGCATGTGGAGATTCAAATTCAAGTTCATTGAAATTTAATAAAGGAAGCACCCAACTCTTCAGATGTGCTAGCCACATCTCTAGTGCTCAACAGCTGTGTGTGGGACAGTGGTGAATACAATGGCCAATAAAGATATAGAACCTCCCTCTCCTTGTAGACAGTTCCGTTGAATAGCGTTGGGCTGGCATGCAAAGTCAAGTGCATTGAATACATGACTTGGTTATGTGTAGCTTTGTGAGCATCAGCAAAAGTTCTTAGAGATGTCAGGGATACGGGGACCATGGACAAAAGTCTGCTCTGTGGTTACCTAGAGCAAACCTTATTTCACAATGCAGGCAAGAGCAGATGATGTAGAGCCAAGCTTTTAAATGATTGCTTTACTTACAATTTGGCTTAACCACAAAAAAGAGAAAAAGCACTTCAAAGTTTCTTAGCTGACCTGAGATTCATGCTGCACAGCTTTGGTGCTGCGTTGAGATTCTGCATCGGTGTGGTGCTTGACTGATTGAGAAAGAGCTCTCAGAGAATCATGAATGTCAAAGAAATCTAGGCAGCTCACCAAAGACTGGGGCTGAATGGCATGAATGACAAAGAACACCTTCTGTAATAACAAAGTGATTCTCCATCGCATCCTCTACCTGTTTCTTCCCTCCACCTTTCTTCCCCTCCTCCTTCCTTCCCCTCCCTCCTTCCTTCCACCTTCCTTCCCCTCCCTCCTTCCCTCCACCTTTCTTCCCCTCCCTCCTTCCCTCCACCTTCCTTCCCCTCCCTCCTTCCCTCCACCTTTCTTCCCCTCCCTCCTTCCTTCCTCCAATCTTGCAGTCTTTGAGTTTCCATCTCCTAGCATTTTACCAAGATTAGACTTTAATTGAGCTACAGGGGAGCTTAGAGATGCTTTAATTCAATCTCTTCATGATATTAATAGGGGAAGGTGGGATCCAAATAGGCCAATCAATGTTACCCCGTCACATAATTCTTTCAGAGCAGAAGACTTATGCTCTTACACTAGTGAGATGGATACCACATCCAAACAGTAGTCTAGACTTAATTTTTTTACATAATTCTGAAGTTTTATTGTTGTTTGAATAGATAGTATATTCCAATATTAAACAGAAACTTGAAGCTTGCTTTTCCAAGAAAGTATAAGTAGGATAAAGAGAAGGGAATGGGGACCTGAGCCATTCTTTTCTTTTGAGTACTTTACAATATGCAGTAAGACATATTTTATGTCTTAACACGTAGCTCAAGGGCAAAGCCTGGCTCCTCTCTGTATCTATCATATCTCTCAGTGCACGATGTTAAGGGGAAAAAAAAACCAACAAACAAACAACTTTTTAAAAAAAGTTCTCAACAGAGCTCAACTGAATGAAAATAGCAGACTAAAAATTCCCACTGAACTAACTGGTCTCAGACCAACTGACAGGTGGTCCAGTCCTCAGCGTGTTGTGCTGTTAGCCAAAAGGCTGCATCGCCGGTCAGTCGTTCAAATCCATCAGCTGTTCACTGGGAGGAAGACGGGCAGTCTCTTTTCTTTGTGATTTTCAGCCTCAGCAAACCTGATCGAGGGTCGCCATGCATCAGAACCAACTTGAGATGGTGAGCTTGAGTTTTTTTGAGCGTGGGCTACTCAGGATGGTGACTTCCTTGTCAGAGTCCATTTTCCCCTGAGAATTATGAAGTTCTTCCTTTTCAAGGACAACTCTGGAGACCTCTCCAGAAACTTTTCTGCTAGAGCAGTGGTTCTCTAAGTGTGGTCCCTGGACAGATGGCATCAACAGCAGCACAGCAGGACTTGCTGGCAATGCAAATGGCAAGCCCTGCTCCAGCCCTGCTGAGTCACACACTCTGGGGTAAGGGCCAATCAGCTGTGCTTTAACAAGACTGCCTGCTGGTTCCGATGCCAAGTTCAAGAACCTCTGAACAAGAGTTTCTCAGGATTCCTGTGAGCTCAATACCTCCCCTTTCCTGCCAGTTGCGAGGACAGTGTCTCCATATTTCACGACCCTGAGAGGGTTCTTTGTACTGAAAATGTAAAATTGCTTCTCCTCTTTTGTGAGTCACTCATGAGAACAGTTAACGTAAATAGGAGCTCAGTTGACCTGCTCTGAACCAGGCGGATGTGACTTGCCAGAATTTTGCTCAAGAGTGTATACATGTGGATTTACGTTTTCTCTAAAAAGTGTTGTTGGTTTTTTCAATTTCACATCAGGCAAGTAGAGAGGTGGGCACAGTGAGCAGTAATTGATTGCTTGCATTTTTCTGAAACATGTTTCAGTTCCGGTGTGAAACAAAACTTCTTACCTTTGTGTAACTGAATCTAGTAGCTCTCTGACACTGAGTGGCGTTACACCATCTGCAACTCTTCAGAGAATCAAGCAAAGCCTTGCTTTTCCGGGTGGATGGTAAGCAATCTGCCCAACCCTCTGCAATATATGGACATGCTCCCAGCCAGCGTTGATACATTCTTTTTTTTTTTTCCTTTTAAAAGCCAAAGTTTCTTTTTACTTATAAATGCTCAAGAGAGTTTAAGAAGTCCGAAGGATCAAAGATATTCAGGTTTAATAAAGCTTATAATGAGTGGTGCCCATCTATGCCTCCATTGTTTCAGCTTCAACTTCCCTTATGGCCAGCACTGTGCCCTGGAGTTATTTCCAGATTGAGACAGTTTGAACTTGCAGTGTTCATAAAGGCCAATTATAGTAGTACTGATGAAAAGAACATTTCCAACAGCAGTCACTATCATTGCAAAGCACAATGTTGTATGGCTGTTACTAAAAGCCATCAAACCTAATCCAGAAACCAACACTGCAAATCCGGTTAATAAAAAGCAGAAGTATTTGTACGTTCTACAAGCCTGATCTAGGCTATAGTCTTCGCAATCACGTGCTATGCATCAGAGAGTTGGACAGTGACTAGGGATGATAGAGAATTGATGCCTTTGAGCTGTGGTGCTGGAGAAGAATGTTGAATACACCATGGACTGCTAGGAGAACAAACAGGTTTGTCCTGAAGAGGGTGAAGCCGGCTGCTTCTTGGAGTCAAGGATTTTGAAGCTCCATCTGACATACTTTGGGCATGTTGCAAGGAGGGACTGGTCCTTGGAGAAGGACATCATGTTTGGGAGAGTGGAGGGACAGCCCAGGACAGGAAGACCCTCAATGAGATGAATTGATTCAGTGATTGGGGTAGTAGGGGTAAGTGTGTCAGAGACGATGAGGTTGGCAACAGCATAGAGCAGCGTTTAAGGCTCTTGTACATAGGGTCGCTATGAGTCGCAAGTGACTCGACAGCATATAACACCACCACCACCACCAACACATGACAATGAGTCCTCCACTGTGAGCCACCTCTGGGTCCAAAAGTCCTATATTGAGCTGGCATCATGGTAAATCTGATATGAATGGCAGCACCTCAACAATAGCAACAGCCCAAATGATCACCAGGAGAAAACTGTTAGATAGTTTAATGGCTTCAAGAGCTGCAGTCCGAAAGGAATGACCCCAAAGATCAATGTGGTTGATTCAACGTTATTTGCTCCCTCTGTCCGGCCCATTTTTCTACAGGCAATTTTGTGCATCTGACCTAGAACACTGCAGAGAGCAGTTTGTGCTCCCCTGTTGATGGGGAGATGGAGCTGGTCCTTTCTTGTTTCTCCTTGGGAAAAAATGGGAGGTATCTGCCCACGTGACTGTGGAAAAAGTGGTGCAGGTACTTCCGGAATCGCTCCCCAACGAAGGCATAGATGATGGGGTTGACACAGCAGTGCGTGTTGGCCACTACTTCTGTCACTGCCTTGGCCAGGTCCAGCTGTTTGCTCTGCTCACAGCTGTTCTCAGGGAGGACCACTTGGAAAGCAGAAAGAAGCAGAGCCAGGCTGTAGGGGGTCCAGAACAGGAAGAAGACGACCATGATGACGAAGATGAGCCGGATGGCCTTGGACTTCTGTCTACTGGGACATTTCAGCAGAGCTTTGATGATCCCCGAGTAACAGATGGCCATAATGAGCAGGGGCAGAACGAGGCCCATGACGTTCATTCGCAGCGCGTGGAAACGCTTCCAGGTGTCTTCCTCACCCTCTGGGTAATGAGGGCTGCAGACCGACTGCTCCTCATCCTCTTGGAACTCGTGGAAGATGACCTCAGGGAGGGCCGCGAGCCCCGCCAGAACCCAGGTAAAGACGCTGGTGATGATGCCAAAGGTGACGGTGCGCGTGCGCAGGGCGAACACGGCGTGCACGATGGCCAGGTACCTGTCGATGGTCAGCAGGACGATGAAGAAGATCTCACTGTACAAGCCCAGGTAATAAAGCCCCGTGAAGAACTTACACATGCACTGGCCAAAGGCCCACTTGTTCCACTCCACATAGTGAATCCAGAATGGAAGTGTGACTAGAAAGAGCAAGTCAGAAATGGCCAAGTTGAGCAGGTAAATGTTGGTCATGATCCCCAGCCGCTTGTATTTGGTGAGGATCACCACCACCACCAGATTGCCCAACAGGCCAACGATGAACACCAGGGAATATAGTGGAGGCAGAAGCCGGGCCCCCAAATCCTTGATGTTGACCTTCTCACACGGCTGTCCTTCATCATAGTCATAGGGTGTGGTTTCCAAGGTCCCAACCTCAGTCTCAGTCTCTTTTGTTAAAGTTTCCATCTTCCTTGGACCTGTCACAAAGAAGAAAGATAGATTCCATCTTAGATATGACCTTACTTGTGAAAGGCACCTGCTGATGGGTTCATTTGCCTAATGAGGATACCCCATGTAATAAACAGCTGATTATCACCAGCTGCTCCAGGAGAGAAGGGTGGAAAAATCTCCTCCCAAGAGATTTACAGCCTCTGAAAACCACTTGCAGGGTCAGCTATGGGCCTGTTCCGACTCAATGGAACACAACAACAATAGCTTTGAAAAGTTTCTTGCATGTGTTTTAAAGATATGTCAGAGATGCTATGCAGAGGGTTAGGAAGAAAAGATCTGAAGTTTTAAAAGCCATTGTGATCTTTGATGGGAACAGGAAAAGGATCACCTGGGATATTACTGACGAAAGGAGATAATGATTTCTGAAAGCATTTGAAACAAAACGGTTTAGATATCTAACTGCAATTCATTGGTTATTTTTATTTTAAATATTCAAACTCATTGCAGGCAAGTCTGAACTGACTCATTGAGCCTCCATTGAGTTTTTTAAGGCTGCAAATTGCACAGGAGGAGATTGTCCATCCTTTTCCTATATAACAGCTCGTGGATTCGAACTGAGTGCCCTTGGGGTCACAGCACAGCTTCTTACCACTAGGCTACCAGAGCTCCCATATTTGTAATACTGATGATGATGATGATAAGAAAAGGAACCATTATTTACTGTACCTATTACAGAATTTTACACTGATTTTCAACACCATTATATATTTAAAAACAACTGCTTAGATTAATAACAGTTTTGCTGCTGCAGATTACAAATAGTTACCCCTCTGAGGCATGGCAGGTATGAGGGCTCAGGGCAATTTTGATGTTCCTTGGGCCCCACGTGGGGGTCGGCAGAGCAGACATGCCAGATGAACTGGGGGTCTGGCGGAAGGACTTTGCCAGCATTTGGGCGTGCCGGGTTGGTAAGACCCTGAAAGGTCGTGTCCTGCCTACGCTCTTGGGAGATTTAATGTCAGCTGAATCCAGACTCTGGCTCCTTGAGGCGCAGCAGGTTTGAGGGCTCAGAGCAATTTCGGTGTTCTTTGGACCCCATGTGTTTTTGTTCAGACATTCCTCTAGGTCGTTTAGCCCTGGTGTACAAGTTGCCATACAGCGGTCACTTGTGGTTGTTGTGAGGCTGAACACTGTGACACTGATGTGTCAAATGCGTTAATGGCTGGTTATCCAATGCGGACAGAGAGTGGGGTGGAGCTCCCCGATTAAAACAAGCTTGGAAACAGGAGTGGCATCCACTTCAGTAATAGCTTGCCTCCAAAAACCCTATGAACCTGGAGAGAGGATGAGAGACACCCAAGCGTCAAGGACTCTCCTTCATAGGGTCGCTATGGGTCGCCTGCGACTCGACGGCACTTAACAACAACCCCTCTGCAAGACCTCATAATGACATACCATTCTTCAGAGCGAATGGGGAAGTTGAACCTTGAAGATTTTTAGTAATTTTCTCAAACTCTCCTAACAAGTAAGTTGAAGATAGACCTTCAGCCTCCCATCTGCCTCCAATTTGCTCAGCATTAGATTAAAATACAGTGGGTTTGAAACGTAATGTTCGAAGGATTTGCTATTTTAGCTATTGTGCTCATTCTAAGGATAAGCAGCACTAACCCAGCTGCTTTCCTGCTCCTGATGATGCTGAGAAATCCAGTCAAGTGACCACAGAAAACATAAGAGCTTCTCCTTCAGAAAGGGCTGCATGCAACTCTGGTGGCCTAGTGGCAGGAAGCTGCACTACACTGCAGTCCACCAGAGAGTCAGCTATGGATCGGTCCTGACTCTATGGTAAAAACAAAAAGCACCTCCAACAACCCAACCATAAAGCAAAAGAAAAAGAGAAGAGCAGGAGGAGGAGAAGGAGGAAGAAAAGGAGAGAAGAAGAAGGAGGAGGAGGAGGAAGAGGAGGAAGAGGCAGAAGAAGAAGGAGGAGGAGGAAGAGGCAGAAGAAGAAGGAGGAGAAGGAAGAGGAAGAGGAAGAGGAAGAAGAAGAAGAAGAAGAAGAAAGAGGAGGAAGAAGAAGGAGGAGGCGGCGGCGGTGGCGGCTGAGTGGGAGGGGTAGGTTAGTGACATTTCCTAGCAGACATATTTTTCAGACTTTGAGATCTAGGATCAGTGCCTATTTGTCATAAAATTATAGATTTTACTGGAAAAGAAGAAAAACGGGCAGGAAAGGAACCACATAACCCAGATGTCGTTGAGTTGACTTTGCTTGCTTCATGGGAACTGTGTGTCTAATCAGAGCTGTGTTTCTTAGAGTTTTCAACTGCTACTTTTGGGGAAGTCGTTCACTAAACTTTTCTTCTGAGGCACCTGTGTTTGGACTCAAACCTTCAACTTTTCAGTTAGCTGGTTTTATCTATCACCCAGCCACTCCCATGGCTAAACCATGCACTACTACTTCCTCAGAGGAAAGTCTATTTGCTCTTTCCAACCTACGTGGAAAGGACAACCGTGAGGACATAAATACACGTGCCAGTGGGCATTCTCCACAATAAAACCAAACCAAGCCCAGTCAATTCTGACTCATCATAGTGACCCTCCATGGGGTTTCTGAGGTTGTAAATATTAATGGCTGAGGGGGGGAGGGTGAGTGGGGAGCTGTCCTTTGTTCTCCTGCACCGTTACTGTTGGAATCGAATCGCCAACCTTTTGGTTAGCAATACGGCGTGTTATAGTCTATGCCACCTCATAGCTAGCCTTCCATGGGGTTTCCTTCAGAGCCTGGGAAGCACACCAGAAGAGGTTGCCTGTCTTTCTCTGGTGGAGCTGCTGGTGCATTCCTGCCACCAGAGAGCCATGGCCTCTGGGTTACCAGGGCAACTCCCTATGAATTACATCTCAGGAATTCAATCATTGGAGCCAATAGCAAGGTACTGTCTTTGCCTCTCGAGAGCATTCTGGGACCCCACAGGTCTGGGCCAACAGGGCTCTGTGTCCTATGTGGTCAAAGTGACTGAGTGTACATGGGAGGAGCTGTGGGAGCCACTGCTAGCCACTCCCTGACACCCCCCCCTCCCCAGTTGTATGACTCAGGCAAGCCCTTAGCTCCCTGAGTTTACTTTTCTCACCTCCAAAACAAAGCATCTCAAGGGGGAGGGGAGTGAAAGGGTGAGGGTGGGTAGAGGTGAAACCACAGGGCTGCACAGTTTGGTGGGTGGAGGGTGGGGAGCAAATGGGAAGGATCCCGGTGAAAAGGACAGGGTGAGATGGGGAAGGTCTAATGGTGATTAATTTTACAAAACATAATACATGAGAATTATTGTATAAAATACAATATGAATGAAGAATAGTGTGAAACACATGTATGTAAACTTTGTAAGCAAACCAATTAAAAATAATGTAATATAGAATGTATAGGAATGATTGTATGAAATACAATGTAAATGAAAGATTGTATAAAACATAATGTAAAGGAATTGTTATATGAAAACCAATAAAATATTTTTTAAAGAAATATCATCAGGTACCACTTGAGGTTGGTTGTAAAGATCAAATAAGAGAGTATGAGTGAGATTACATTTAAACTGTAGAAAGCTGTGAAATTAACAGGAAGCAGGAGTGAAAGAAAGGCCAGGGGAAGCAATTTAAAATGAAATTAGAAAGAAGTCTGGTCCTTGGGTAGAACTTGTGAGTCTTTTTGTTCATGGGTCTGTCTCAGTGCATCTTCCACTGAATGGCGATGCATTCCAGTAGAAAAATGAAATTAAGGAATGATTGAATATGTATAATATTATCGGCACCCTTATTCCCAATAGCATATTCCAGAGCAGCTGAGAAGAAATTACTCATTATATTATCTGTCCATTCTGCATTTCCCAATCACAGAGCGAATCCCTCTAAACCTTAATGTCTAAAGTAAGAAAGATGTACAGATGTGTGGTCTGGGAACAGAAGCAACAGTAGCCTGTGCCCATCATAAAGGATCTGAACTTTTTTTCCTTTTAACCTCAAATTATTTAAAACCAAGTCAAATAAAAAACAAACAAGTAGAAATCACTGATGTCTCCCTCGACATTAGATTTTCATCCATGTGTTATTGATTGATTGGCTGATAAACTAAATATCAATATGACAACAATTATAGCATCTTCTGGTTTGGGTTGCAGGGCTGCCTATGAGCTTTCTGCTCAGAGATGCAAATTCAGGGAAGTGGGAGTGTTCTCTAACATCAGTAGCCAAGACTTTGACTACTAGATCCATGAGGTTAGGAAAACTGCTAAGGCTTATTTCTGCCTACCTGGTCCAAACTGAGACCTGCCTTAAGGTATGAAACAGCCAAGACATTGGAATTTAGGTTTTAAAAAAATGGCTTTTTGCATTTTGAATAACAACAAAAAAATCTATATGGTGACAGCAAACGAGTAAGTAAAAAAACAATAAAGAAAAACACAAAAATGAAAATGAAAATCACCTCAACCCTCACCAGACAGAATTTACCATTGTTAACATGCAGATATACATATACGCTGTTTGTTGTGTGTGTGGTGTTTTTTTTTTTAATTAAAGCATGGGAATGAGGAAAATTGAAAGAGAATTTGTTCTTGAAAACAATGTATTTGAATTTTGTAAATAAACTAGTAGAAAAAAATTAGATCACGCTATTTTAGCTGGTTTGTCAAAATGACCCAGCATGCATAATTCAATTGTATAACATAAATGAAGTTGTTTTCATCTCCTAATAGTTCAAACCCACCAGCTACTGTATGGTGAAAGATGTAGCAGTTCTATTTCTATAAAGATTTATAGCCTTGGGGGTGGGGAGATTTATCTCCTTGGAAACTCTTCGGGACAGTTCTACATATGGTTACTATGAGTTAGAATCTGCCTAACTAACAAGTTTTGTGTTTGGTGTAACTGTTTTTATTCTCTAACTCCTTGCTGTTGAGTCAGAACTGACTCATAGCTACCCTCACGGGCTTCACGAGAGATGGCCGTCTTTCCCTCTTGAAGCCACGGGT